ATCCACACCACTCTGGAAAAAGGGATGAGCGGGGCCCTGCTAGTTATGTAACGTAAGAGAAAAGAGGGAAGAGAAAAGGAGTGTTTTCTACCAGTAATCACTGCCAGACTATTCCCCTCACAGCCATCATCAAAGGCTGAATTGACCCAAAAGAAACCCTGGTATTTGCCCAGGGTGCCAGGGGAGAGCCTGCTCTTTCCAACAGAAGCCTGGCATTCTGTTCTCGAAAGAAGACAGATTGATACTGCTTGCAGTGAAGAGAACTAGCCAAGGCCCCAGCCTCAAGCCATGGCTCCCAGTGTCCCACAGAGGGCCTGTGCAAGCTGGTGTCGGGGGGCCCATGGAGGTCAAACCAGGATGGCCATTTAACCAGCAGGGTGGGCATTGTTTTCCCAGGCAGTGCAGCCTGAGTGAGAGGGTGCATGGCGGTCAGGACAGGGAGCTAGACAGGGAGGGCAGGGCTGGCTTTGTTTGGTTCCCTGAGGCTGGAGGTGATTCTACAAACAGGAGAAAGGGCAGGAAGCCCAGAGGCAGTTGGGATTAGAGTCTCTGAGCAGATTGGGACAAACGGCAAAGGACTGTGGATATTGGCAGTGGGCAAGTGAGCAGGTCAGTCCTTCACTGCTATGTGACTCAGGAGCAGGCAACCTGACTAAAAGGATCTCAGTCTTGGAGACCCTGGCTTCCACCTCTCTTGCCAGTAGTCCAGTAGTGGAGAGTCACTCCTGGACATTATGAACATGTATAGGCCAAGGCCCAGGAGGGCCATGGGTCTGTATGAACCAGAGAGCCTTGGTCTTCCCTTCCTCCCGGGCCAAGGTGTAGGCCTGGAGCAAAGGCTTATCAGTCGAGTCTCTAAATCCCAGTGGGATCACATGGGCGCCCCCATGATGGCTCAGAGATGACTTTCCTAAGTGGAGTGACAGGCCTCAGGCCCAACCCCGGTGAAACCACGATAGTGCTACCCGACCTTTGCAAACCAGTGGGTTCCTGCTCCACTGACAGGCATGCAGCTTCCACACTTCCTAGAGGGCATGCATGGGAAAAATTGGGGACATCGCTAAAGGGAGGTACTGGGCTGGAGAGCATTTCATTTAGAGAAGATGCCAATGTAAGACATTTGGCCAGAACACACAACAGAGTGCACCAGCTGCTATTTCCACCTTTCTTCCTCGTGCCTATTAAACCCATCAGGCAAGCATACTGAACCCATCAGCATTGACCTGATTACCCTCCAGCAACCCTGAGAAATGTTTCTGCATTGAAGCTATCAGAATTCAGTAGCTGAAACACTGTAGCTTCAATAATGAAAACAATAGCCAACAATGCCAGGCACTATTCTAAGTGCTTCACAAACATGAACTCCTTTAGCTGGCAGGAGTTGATAGGATACTTAATTTAGAACTTAAGTCAACAAAGTGAATTTGATGATAAAAAAAGTTAGGGCATCCACTCAGTACTGCTCCCTATTCTCAGCAGGCCTCACCCTGACATTGCAGGAGGCTGTCTCAATTGTCCCACATGAGACCCTTACCCACAGCACCAGGAGGGTGAGCCTTTTCCTTTTTCCATGTATATTTTGTTTTAGTGGTGATGACAGAGAGATCACATGAGACAGTGTGCTTGTAGCTCCAGATCTATCATTTACACCCCTGATCTGATTAAAATCAGGAGGGGGAGATCTGCTAGTGTGTGGGCTCTGTTTACCCCCAATACCATGTAACCCTGTTATGCTGCACTCAAAATTTCCCCTTAAAACAATGCTTCATTTTTATGCTACACAGACCTCCCTGCGCCATCTCTGACCTTCCACAAAGGGAACAGGTCACACCACAGGAGGCCATGCTTTGTGGACTCTGTGCTTCATTCACCTACATGCTTTTCCTTCCTGAGACAACTTGCAGCTGGGTCCCTTGTGGGGCCAACTAGTCGGAGCACTTGTGGGCAGCTGCTGCCTACCTTTGGCCCACTTCCTCAGTGCACATCAAAACACTGGTAATGAAAGTGCTCAGAGAAATGATTGAGTACCGCTGCAAAATAAAGGAGGAAGTGAAGCGCATACAAAGTGAAACAAAGAAAAATATACAGGGAACCAACAGTGAAGGGAAGGAAACCGGGACTCAAATCAATGATGTGGATCAGAGGGAAGAAATAAGCAGTCAACCAGAATAGAATGAAGAAAGAAGAATTCAAAAAAATAAAATGAGGAGAGGCTTAGGAACCTCTGGGACAAATTTAAATGTTCCAACATCTGAATCACAGGGGTGCCCGTAGGAGAAGAGGAAGAGCAAGAAATTGAAAACTTACTGGAAAAAATAATGAAAGAAAACTTTCACAATCTGGTGAAGGAAATAGACATACAAGTTTAGGAAGCTCTGAGAGTTCCAAAGAGCATGAACCCAAAGAGGGCCACAACAAGACTCATCATAATTGCAATGGCAAAGGTTAAAGATAAAGAGAGAATTTTAAAAGCAGCAAGAGGAAAGGAGAGAGTTACCTACAGAGGAGTCCCCAAAGGGCTATCAGCTGATTTCTCCACAGAAACCTTATAAGCAAGAAGGGGCAGGAAAGAAGTATTCAAAATGATGAAAAGGAAGAAACTATATCCAAGATTATTGTATCCAGCAAGGCTATCATTGAGTTGGAAGGGCAGATAAAGTGCTTTACAGAGAAGGTCAAGTTAAAGGAATTCATCATCACCAAGGCCTTATTATATGAAATGGTAAAGGGACTTATCTAAGAAAGAGAAGATCAAAAACTATTAACAATAAAATGACAACAAACTCACAGCTATCAACAACTGAACCTAAAAAAAATGAACTAAGTTAACAACTAGAACAGGAACAGGTTCACAGAAATAGAGATCACATGGAGGGTTATCAGCGGCTAGTGGGAACGGGGAGAATCGGGGAAAAGGTAAAGGGAATGGAAGCATTATTGGTAGGTACAAAATAAGCAGGGATGTTAAGAATAGTATTGTGGAAGTGGAAAAGCCAAAGTGCTTATATGTATGACCCATGGACATGAACTAGGGTGGGGGGAATGGAATGCTGGAGGGAATGTGTATACTGGGCACAGGGGGATACAAGGGAGAAAAAAATGAGCAACTGTCGTAACGTGATCAAGAAAATATACTTGAAGCTCTGGCTGGTGTGGCTCAGTGGATTCAGTGCCGGGGGCACCATTTTGATTCCCAGTCAGGGCACATGCCTGGGTTCTGGGCCAGGTCCCCAGTGGAGGGTGTTTGAGAGGCAACCACACATTGATGTTTCTCTCCCTCCTTTTCACCCTCCCTTCCCCTCTCTGTAAAAATACATAAATAAAATCTAAAAGAAAAGACTTCCTACCCTAAAATGTACCTGAGAAAATATATACTTAAACAAATAAATGGGGTTGGGAAAAAAAGTGTTTGCACAGCAAAGGAAACCATCAACGAAATGAAAAGAAACCCACTGAATGAGAGAACATATTCACCAAGGATACATCTGATAACTAGTTAATATCCAAAATTTATAAAGAAGTCATACAAGTCAACACCCAAGAAATACAATTAAAGAATGGGCAAAGGGCCTGAATATACCTTTCTCCAAAAAGACATATAGAGATGGCCAATAGACATATTAGAAAATGCTCAACATCACTAATCATCAGAGAAATGCAAATTAACCACAATGAGATATCACTTCATACCTGTAGAATGGCCATCATCAGTTAATCCACAAACAATTGTTGGTGAGGGTGTGGAGAAAAGAGAATCCTCGTGCACTGTAGGTGGGATTGTAAAGTGGTGCAGCCACTGTGGAAAACGGTATGAAGGTTCCTCAAAAAAATTTAAATAGAACCACCTTACGACCCAGCAATTCCACCTCTGGGCATTTATCCATAGGTATCCAACACACTAATTTGAAAAGATATATGCAGTCCATTGCATCATCATTCACGTAGCCACGAAATGGAAGCAACATAAGTGTCTATCCATGGACGAATGGAGAGAGATGTGGTACATATACAATGGGATATTACTCAGCCACACAAAGGAATGAAATCTTGCCACTTGCAACAATATGGAAGGACCTAGTGGGTATTATTCTCAGTGAAATGTGACAAAGACAAATACCCCATGATTTCACTCCTATGGGATCTACAAAACAAAATAAACGAACAAACAAAAGAGAAACAAACTCAGACGCGGAGAACAATTTAGTGGTTGCCAGGGTTGCCAGATGAGAGGGGATTTGGGTGATCGGTGAAAAGGTTGAAGGGACTAAGAAGTAGAAATTGCCAGTTATCATTATAACGTGGGTAGGGGGTAAAATAGAGTATACAGAAAAAGCCAGTAATATTTTAATAACTGCATGTGGTATCAGGTGGGTAGCAGACTTTTCAGGGTGATCACTTACTTCATAAGTTATATGAACCTCTAATCAGTATGTCGTAGTCCTCAGACTAACGTTTTATGTCAACTGTAACTGGGGGGGGGGGGGGCGGGGGGCGGGGAGACGTTCTAGTTCCTGCACAACCCATGCGCAACCCAGTAGAAGTGTGTACCGTCCACTGCGAGGTAAAATAACAGGTTCGTACGTATTAGGGCCCGACAATGGCGGGGACCGGTACACAGGATTCTCAGTTCTCGGGCACAGCACTCTGGCCCTGCGGTGTTTAGTGAGCATCTGACACTTGGACCAAGTCCAGCAACTGTAGAGCGCCTGGTACCTCTAGCGCTAAATAGCGGAGGATCAAACCTTCTGCACTGGGCCGGAGCGCAGTGGAAGTAAAGCCTCAAGCGCAAAGGCTGCGCTCCGAAAAGAGATTCTGAGAGTCCAGGACGTCTAGCGTTCAGCGATCCCACAGCCAGGGGAGAAAAAAAAAAAACCCAACTTGGCACAAGCCGCGCAAACGCTGTGAGGCAAAGAGAGAGAACCTTCGGGAGGCCTGTGTGAGCACGCCCACTGGCGCGGGGGCGTGGCTGCGAAGCACCAGCCTATAGGGGTTGTCCTGGTTCTCGGGACCCGCGACTCTCAATTCACCTACGTTCGCTCTGCTGCCTCACCAGCCTTCCCTGAAGCAAAGCTGTTCTGGAAAATAGGGTGAGCGCGGTGCGGCGTGGTAAAAGCTTAGGATGACGAGAAACGAAGTGAGAGAGGGCAAACTCCGGGGTAAGCGTAAACCAGAGGCTTACTAAGCAGGAGGGTGGGGGGGAGTCCCGAGCGGGAAAACCTTCCGGATCTTTAGGGGCGGGACTAAGGTGTGATGGAGAGGCGATAAACCAATGCTGAGGGGAATGGGAGGTGAGTGAGAGCGGGAGCTGCAGTTCAACTGGAGTGGTGCTTTGGAGTGAGGGTAGCAAACCTGCACCAGGGCGTTCAGTAGTCCAAGTCGCTAAGCGCTTTTCCTAAAATATCTTATTTTACTGGTCACTGCAACCTTGTGAGTGTGCGTTGTGAGTATGCCCTTTGACCTCTCTTTTACACATGAGGAAACTGAGGGTCAGGGGTGTTAACTGAGGCCCGAATACAGCGGGAATCCCAAATTCGGCAGTGTGACCCCAGAGCCCACACTGTTAATGGCTCTTCCCTAGTGTCTGCCCTTCAGAAAATCAAGGTGGAGTGAGGTCTAAGTCGAGAACATTCGGATGAGTGGAACTGACCACATTGTTGGAGGATGTGCCATGAAAAGTGGAAGTAAATACTAATAAGTAGCAGGTTTTTCCTATACAGTGTGAGAGCTGTGGGGATGGGGCTGGGAGGGAGACAGAAGGCCAGAGCAGGGTTGTGGGTGCCGGGCCTTGTGCCCAGCTGTGGGAGCATTGCGGCTCCGCTGCATACTGTGCCTCTGGGTTCACAGTAGGTGTAGGAGACGTTTTGTTTTGAGGCGGTGTTGTCTCCCCAGGTGTGTGAAGTTAAAGCATTTTAGAAGCTTAAAAGCCAAATAGTATATGGAACATAGTTGTTTCTCCCTTTGTGGTTTCCATAACATAATACCATACGCTGCATAGCTTAAAGAACAGAATTTTTTTCTTACAGTTTTAGAGGCTGGGAAATCCAAGACCAAGGTCCCAGCCTATTCAGTCAGCAGCGAGAACCCCCTTCCTCTCTTGCAGAAGGCCCCCTTCTTGTCTGCACAGGGCTGGTGGAGAGAGAGCTCTCTCTCTTCCTCCTATGAGGATTAGGACCTCACTGTTCATGACTTAATTTAATCTCAGTGACCTTTTCCGCTTAATGTTAATTACCTCCTAAAAGTCTTGTCTCCAAATAGAGTCTCTTGTTGGGGGTTGGGGCTTTAACACATGACTCTGTGGGAGGATTGGGACGCAGTTCAGTCTGTCACGATAGTTTATACCCAAGTAAATAACGAGTGATAATTGAAGACTGAAGAACATGAGCAGTTTAGGACAGTATGTACCTGAGGTTCTTTCACAGTTAATGAGCGAAAAGCTTTCTGTGCTGGTATGTGCCTTAGCACTGGTGAGGAATTCTAGGAAGAACTTGTGTGGAGGTCATGATTGTCCTCCCTGCAACCAACCTGAAGAGGTCAGAAAAAGCAACACCAAGCACCCTTAAAAGGTGTGCTTAGTGTATCCACTATTCGTGGATTTATCTTAACCCTTATTTTTAAATCCTCATCTGAGGGTATGTTTATTGATTGTAGAGAGAGAAGAAGGGAGAGAGAAACATTGATTGGTTGCCTCCCATAGGCGACCAGACCAGGCATCAATCCCACAACCCAGGTACATACCCTGACTGGGAATCAAATTGCAACCTTTTGGTATATGGGACAAAGCTCTGGCCAACTGTGCCACCTGGCGGGAACTAAACCCACCAGGATTAACCGCTCACTTACCTTTGTGCCACATCCGGAATAGTGAGATTCATAATTACCACCGACAGTGAGTGAAATAGTAATGACTCTCTTTCTGTATTGTTTCCTGTTGTCACTCTCAAGTTGTTACTCTAACCAAGTCTCTTCACCCTGCTTATCCTGGTGAGAAGGGAGAGTGAGGCAATACAAAGTCAGGGTCTCGATGATCTGGCGGATGTGCGTTCAAAGCTCGGGTTCAGGCAGTTGGTCATTGACTGTGGGCAAATCACTGAACATTTCTGAGTGTCAGTTTCTTCATCTGTAAAATGGAGCTAATAAAAATACTGGCCACACAGGGTTGTTGTGAGGCTATATGAAGACAGTTTGAAACTTTTTTTTTAAGATTGATTGATTTATTTTTAGAGAGGGAAGGGAGGGAGAAAGAGAGAGAGACACACACACATCAATGTGCAGTTGCTCGACGCCGTGGCCTGCAACCCAGGCATGTGCTCTGGCTGGGAATCGAACCTGCGATACTTTGGTTCTCAGCCTGCGCTCAATCCACTGAGCTACGCCAGCCAGAGGTGACAGTTTGAAACTTAAAGAACTGTCCTGCGGACTAGATATTTAAGTCATGGGGCATCCTCCGCCCTCACCTCTGAAGGACAGAAACCTCCACCTACAGCCCCCATGTCAAACTGGCTTTTTATTTATGCATCAGGTTTTTATTGAATGCCTTCTAGTTGCCAAAGCACCTGGCTCTCTGAGTGCTAAGGGCAGGGAAAAACAAGACAGACAAGGTTGCTTCTTACATGCTGCCTACAAGGTCTGTCCAGGAGGTACCCAGCCATGTACTATGAAAACTAGAGACACTTATTGAAGAAGATACAAGAAACACTGTACGTAGGACAATGGTGCCTCAGTCTGTTTCAGAGGAGGCACCTTTGGACCTGACACAGTTCTCCCAGCTGCCGTCAGCAGCCCCAACATATTTTCCTGTATCTCATCAACGGTCTGAAATCTCTTCCATTTCCAAAGTGCTTTTAGTTTTGGGAATAACCACAAGTTGCAGGGCACCAAATGTGGGCTGTAGGGGAGCTGAATCAGCTGGGTGGTATGATGTTTTGCAAAAAAAAACTGCACGAGACATGATGCATCAGAAGGAGTGTTGTCCTGATGAGGCTGCCAATCACCAGTTGCCCATAGCTGTGTCCTCCTGAATCATCGGGATAGTTTCCGCTGAGAATTGTTCAAGCTTAACACAGAATTTGATGCAGATTCATTGTTCTACTCACTCAGTCATATTGCAACTGCCACACAATATACACAGTCACTCAATGGCATCTACCAACCCCCTAACTAGTACAGTCAAGTCGTAATTCTTCACACATGTGCATTCCAGTCCATTCGCTTCGGCTGCTGGGTTACATCAGTTTCATGCAAACGATTCCCATTATGTTAACAATGGCTATACTTTTTCCAGACAGACCTCGTATACTCTAGTGAGAAGGACTAAATAAAATAGTGACTAATCAAGAAGTTCATTTGTTTTTTTCTGTGAGATGGCTCTTGTCGTGCTTAGTTGTCTTTAACTACATTCAAGATGCCTTTGTGAGATTGTTTTGTGACAGCTTTCACATCTGTGTTCCTTAAAAAAGTATATGAAAATTGATGAATTTTTGTGTTGGCATTTTAATGTTGAAGAAGGAAGAAAATAAGCAACATTTCCAGCATATTATGCTTCATTATTTCAAGACAGGTAAAAACACAACTGAAGCAGAAAAAAGATAGGCACAGTGTATGGAAAAGGTACTGTGACTGGTCAAACGTGTCACAAGCGGTTTGCAGAGTTTGGTGCTGGAGATTTCTCCAGAATAATGTTCCATGATCGGGTAGACCAGTCAAAGTTGATAGGAATCAAAACGAGGCATTAATTGAGAACAGTTAACAATATACCATGCGGGAGAGAGCCAACATACTCAAAATATCCAAGTCAATAAAGTTAATTGGTGAAAATGAAAATCGTGTCTCTATTTTATGGGAAAAAAACTACATGGACTTTTGGCCAACCCAGTTAGCTATGAGTGATAAGAGCTATGAAGAAATTAAACATAGGGTATTGAAATAAAAGAGTGACTTAAAGTAGAGCAGTGTGTGTGTGTGTGTGTGTGTGTGTGTGTGTGTGTGTGAGAGTGTGTGCCCATGCCTGTATTTGGAGGGAGGGTATTTGACCACTAGGATGGCGAAACAGAGAGAGAGGCTTCTCTGAGGAGCTGAGTGTCCCTAACTGTTGAGGACTCATCCTTCCCTGGGGCAGGGGCTGGGGCGGGAGTGGGGAGGGCAGCAAGTGCAAGGCCCAGGAGGATCAGGTCAGGCTGGTGCTTTACCCTTCTGTAGGGTGACCTTAGCAGGGCAGGAGATGCTGATCAGATATTTCTCTTGAGATTCAGAACTGAGAAACATGAAAAGCATTTCATGGGAGTGGGGGCTGAAGCTGAAAGGTACAGAGGGCTGAAGTGACCATGTGCAGGCTGAAGTTCTGAATGAGCAGAAGCTGTGAGTAAGCAGAGGAGGTCAGTTCGTGACTCCATCTGGCATGTGAGTGAGCTGGAGAATGAAAACCCATGGGTATTTACTGGTTGGTGAGGTTGTGGGAGCTGTTTTGAGGTTTGAGCGTGTCAGTAGTTCCAGTGCGCCAGAACTCCCACCCTGGTGGTGGCTTCTGTGCTTGGTTTTTCCAGGTGGTCTCAATTCTCAATAGGCATCTTTTCAATAAATCTCCCTTTTATGTCTGTTGCTTATCTGCTACAGCCGGTTCAATTTGACTAAAACAGTCATATGGACCTGGGTTTGGATCCCTGGTTTTCCTTTAACTAGCTGAGACTTTGAACAGTTATTTCATTCCTGTAAGTATCTGTATGCAACAACTGTATCCTTAAGTGTTTTTCAGATTACATGAGATAATGAAAGCAAAAGGGCCTGAGGAGTGCTTAGCACATAGGTGCTCAAAATTTGTTACATGCTTTTTCTCTGCCCCTTCATGTTGTAATGGTTATTTGATTTCATGCCTCCTTCTTGTTATTGAATTGTCCACGTTTTTTAAAGTCACTTCCTGTAGTTCATCCTTTCACTTTTGCAGTCATTTGAACTGCCCCTAAACCATAACTGGAAGAACATTAGAGCAACTGCCTTTCCCCTCATGTCGAACAGACATTGCTGTTGGTTTTATTGAGGCTAGTTAGGTAACAAAGATGCTAATGGTTTTAGGGTTATTCATGTTTGTGCTTGTGAAATATGGGCCTGCTAAAGAGCTTGGAGCAGTGACTTCCAAAGAGAGAGTGTGGGACCAGGATGGAAGAGTCAGTCCTCCAACTGTGACGAAGTGAAGGAAGTCCCTTGATGCAAATGCTCTCTCAGAGAAATCAGGTTCAGAAGAGGACGAAAAGATGACATAGACACAGAGCTGAAGAGTTTGCCTTAGACCTTGGCCTGGCAAGGGAAAGAGATGCTGTGGTCTCCGTATGTGGAGCTCTTCCAGCTGGGCGTAGTCCTTGTGAAGAGCGCTCTGCCAGTCCGGAGTCAGACAGAAAGCTCTGATTCTTGAGGCCCAACCATTTTGTGGAGGAAGCTCCAGTTGGTACTGGAAATGGAGGGTAGGATGAACGAACAAGCAAATTAAAGATAATCTGTAAAATAGGGGTATGTATATTAATCTGTGCCACATAAGAAAAGCTGTAATGGTACTTGTAATTTTCTGCCGGTGTGCCATGATTTTACTTAGAGATCTTTGCAACAGGATAAAGTGAAGCAACGTGTCATGCAAATGCTGCCCTGAGGACAAGGGAGAGTAGAAAGACTGGAAACATGATTACAGGCAACAGCTCTGATCCCAGAGGAAATCTCCAAGCCTTTCCTAGGGGCACTAACTACAAGGCTATCCAAGCAGCAAAAGCATCCCAGGTGAAATGGCAGGGAGTTCACGTATAGGGGCTTTCCTAGGCTTCCTTCTTCTAGAGCCACTTGGGATAAATGTCACTAGATGGATTCCCCATGATTTGGTATGGCTTCGTGGGGACATGCACATGATGGAGAGAGTGTGGTGTGTGTTTGCAAAAACAACGTACAACCTCAGGAGAAGTTCCATAACTGGTCCTGAGGCTGTTCTTAGGAATTGTTGTAGTTTTCAAGCCAGTTCTTTCTGGCTCGTCAGAGAACTACAAGGTGTTTTTTCTCCCTCTTAGGATGATGGCTGATAAAACCCAGGAGACTGGTGGCATCCATTTCCCTTTTCCCTTCACACCCTATTCCATCCAGGAAGACTTCATGGCAGAGCTCTACCAGGTGTTGGAGGCTGGCAAGATTGGGATATTTGAGAGTCCAACTGGCACTGTAAGTATGAACAGAGGGCTCTTGGGAGACCTCGATTACTGGTAGTTAGAGGCTTATTCACCCAAGCAGAGATTTTCATGGTTTGAAGTTGGGCAAAGTAGTTGTCTCAGTTTATTTTTCTGAGGAATGCTCACTCCCCTCTATTAAATCGTTAAACACACCCCAGGATCCACGGAAAATTAGACCGAAGGTGAATGAGAATCTGAATGGCTATGGAAGCACAGCACTGAACCTTTCCGGAGTTCTCTGGGCACACAACTGCTTTGATGTTGAGCAACATAGAAATTACTTTGCTTTATTCATGTACTGAACACATTGATTTAATCTCCAGGAACTAGGTTACTGAGTGCTGCAGGGATCCAGTCAAGGGCCCCTAAGTTTTTCTTCCCAGCCTGGAATGAGGGATTTAGTAGATGTCAGCCATTGAGGATTGCTAGGGCTGTGGTGATCAGTTCTTGCTTCTGTCTTGTACTTTATTTATTGTCTTTTATAGCAAGTACTATGTGATAGTAGAATGTATGTATGTGTTGATGTAAAGGTCCCTCAACTAGGCTGTGACCCCCTGGAGGGTAAGGCCTTGTGGTGTTCACTTCTGTGTTCCTGTCATCTAGAAGAGCTTGGCCTATTAGGTCCCCAAAATGCTCTTAGTAAGTGTGTGTTGAATGAGTAAAAGAAAGTGACCCATTCCTTTTCTCTCACTTGCTGATGGAAGCATGTCACGTTTCTTGAGATGACATGATCTCCTGAGACAGGAGGAGGGCAGACTGGGGTACTGTACTGTTTCATTTTGTTTGTTCGTGTGTGTTTAGTGAGTAGGAGAGAACAAGCCCTGCCAGGGGACAAAGTGCGGGTCAGGAATACAATGTGCAGAGGGCGTTGTGTTTTTAAATAGTAATCCACCGGCATTTGTACCTTCCATTTGAACCCAATGCAATGTGACTTCTTCCACTACCAACCCACTGAAATGTCTTTTAAGATCAGTAGTGACTTCCTGGTTCTTAGGTCTGGATATGGAAAGTCCTTATTTTCACTACTCCATGGTATTTGACTTTGCTGGACTCCTTTGTTTAAAGCCCTATAAAAATTGTTATCACAGTCAACTTACAAAGTCAAACTTACCGATTTTGTGGGCAGGTGCTTTTAGTCCTTTTGTCTATGTCTTAGGAAATACACTTGCATCACACATTTTGAAATTGTAAGCTGAGCACTTCCGGCAAGATGGAGGCATAGGTGGATGCACCGTACCTCCACGCACAACCAAGATTAGAACAACAACAATTTAGAGCCAGAAGAACACGCAGAACTAATAGAGAATTTATCTGAATGGAAGTCGGACAGCCAAGAAGTTGAAGTAGACCCGTTCATCCAGACTGGTAGGAGAAGCAGAGAAGAGGAGCTGGGCGGGCGTGGGTCGGCATCGCGTGGAGGTCTGGGAGAACTTGGTGCGAACGTTGGCGCGTAAGCCATCCAGGGTGCACAAGATTGCAGCAGTGGATCCTGAGTACACAAGCAGTGGCTGGCAGACCCAGTGAGGTGGCGATTGTGGACCAGGGCAGGGCTCGAAACCCAGGATACCAGAGAAGGGACTGAGATCCCAGGAGAACACAAATACCACCATTGTTCCCTGCTGTCCCCGTCCCTGCTCCGGGCCCCACATACAACATCACAATCTAGCGACTGGGGTGCCCAGCGTTGTTGAACACCTAAGGCTCTGCCCCTCACCGCAACAAGAGCGACCAGATAGGGGAAAAAAAAGGAGAGACAGGGAGAGAGTCATGTGTCCAACAGAAGAACAGATCAGTCCCCCAGGACTCATCCTTCTGAGCGACCAAGAAATAGCCAGTCTATCAGATGCACAGTTCAAAACTGGTGATCAGAAAGCTCATGGAATTGGTTGATTTTGGGCACAAATTAGATGAAAAAATGCAGGTTACCATAAAAGAGATGAAGGAAGATGCACGGAAAGCCAATAGTGAAGGGAAGGAAACTGGGTCTGAAAACAATAGAGTGGACCAGAAGGAAGAAAGAAACAACCAAGCAGGAAAGTATGAAGAAATAAGAATTCAAAAAAACGAGGAGAAGCTTAGGAGCCTCCAGGACATCTTTAAATGTTCCAACATCCGAATTATAGGGGTACCAGAAGGGGAAGGGAAAAATCAACAGATTGAGCACGTATTTGAACAAATAATAAAGGAGAACTTCCCCATTCTGTCAAAGGAAATAGTCTTCCAAGAAATCCTGGAAGCTCAGAGAGCCCCAAAGAAGTTGGACCCAAGAAGAAACACACCAAGGCACATCATAATTACATTAGCCAAGGTAAAAATGAAGGAGAGAATCCTAGAAGCAGCAAGAGATAAGGGGACAGTCACCTACAAAGAAGTGCCCATCAGACTGTCAGCTGATTTCTCAAAAGAGACCTTACAGGCAAGAAGGGGCTGGAAAAAAATATTCCAAGTGATGAAAGACAAGGACCTACATCCCAGATTGCTCTATCCAGCAAAGCTCTCATTTAGAATGGAAGGGCAGATGAAGTGCTTCTCAGATAAGGTCAAGTTAAAGGAGTTCATCATCACCAAGCCCTTATTTTATGAAAAGTTAAAGGGACTTATCTAAGAAAAGAAGATAAAGAAAAAACATGTATAGTAAAAGGACAGCAAACTCACAATTATTAACAACCACACCTAAAGCAAAACCAAAAGAAACTAAGCAAACAACTAGAACAGGAACAGAACCACAGAAATGGAGATCACATGGAGGGTTAGCAACAGGGTGGTGGGAGGAAGAGAGGGGGAAAAGGTACAGAGAATAAGTAGCCTAGAGTGTAGTTTGAGAATAGATAGGGGGAGGGTAAGAATAGTATGGGAAATGTAGAAGCTAAAGAACTTATAAGTATGACACATGGACATGAACTAAAGGGGGGGAGATGTGGGTGGGAGAGGGTGTACAGGGTGGAGGGGAGTGGAGGGGGGAAATGGGACAACTGTAATAGCATAATCAATAAAATATAGTAAAAAAAAACTAAAAAAAATAAAAAAACAACAACAACAAAAAAAGGCTTATCAAACTTGGTGAGTTTTTGTGCAGCCATTTTAATATTGAAGATGGAAAATGATATGCAACATTTTATGCTTTATTATTTCAAGAAAGGCAAAAACAACTAAAATACAAAAATAAAGATTTGTGCAGTGTATGGAGAAGGTGCTCTGACTGATTGAATGTGTCAATGACGGTTTGCGAAGTTTCTTGGTACTATTGATATTTTGGACAAATAATTCTTTGCTGTGGAGCTGTCTTACGCACTGGAAGATATTTAGCAGCAACCCTGGCCTCTGCCCACTGGAAGCCAATAGAGGGAGATAGCCAACATACTTAAAATATCCAAATCAATAAAGTTACTGGTGAAACTGAAAAATGTGTCTTTATTTTATGGAAACATCTAAATGGACTTTTTGGCCAACCCAATATACATTTAATATTGTCTAACTTAAAAAAAAAAAGAAAGAAAAAAGAAATTGTAAGCTGTGTGGTGCTATTTCTTGATTTCTTAATTTTACTCATGGGTGCCTTCCTCTTGTGATGGATAAGATGTAGCTCTCTTAACATTTCTTTTCCCTCTCTGTCCTGATGTCGTCATCTATTTTTAGTCTCTGCTAAGTCAGTGTACTATGATTGTTTTTTCCTTGAATAATTTTGTTTTTCTAGAGTGAATAACTGCCTTTTAAAAGTTCCTTTAAAAAATATACGTATGCCAATTGCTCACACATTATCCAGTGGTCTCAACAGGATGCAGGTTTCCAGGCCATGGAAAGTTCAGCACCCATGGATTCAGTCAACCTCAGATCAAAAATATTGGCGGAGGAAGCTACCTTGTTGCTGACTTGTACTATGTAGTTAGGCCTATGATGGTTGCTGAACATGTACAGAGTTTAGCATAGCAATTATTTACATAACATTTGCCTCATATTACATATTATAAATAACCTAGCCTCTTGATGGCAGTCGCCTCCTATGGCAAGAGTCTGGAGAGAGCTGGGAGGGGGCTCCTGGCCATGTGCACCACCCCACCCTTCCCTCGGGCCCCTCCCCTCTACCTTCCTGGCCCTGGCATGTCTGGGGAAAGCAGCCTTTGGTGCTGAAGCAGCTGGGTGTTCCCTGTGGCCAGACTAGTTCCAGCATGTGCGCCGGACTGCAGCCCGACCTGGACAAATCTCCTGGTTCGATGTCTGGCCACCTTCTCCTGGCGTCTGCCCCCATCCCAACCTCCCGCCAGGCCCCAGGGCCAGGCCCCTCGGTCTGGGTTTCCTCCCTCACACCCCCCACTGCGCCCGTGCCTCTCTGTTTGCCCCCCATATACCCTCGCAGCCCCTCGCCCTCCAGGCCCCACAGGTGTGAGGAATTGCCCACGGAGGTGCAAGTGGCATCGCTGGCTGGCAGCGCAGACAGCAGGGCGGTGGCAGTGGGCCGTGTGCCCCTCCACCCAACCATTCACTCTCTCCCCTCTTTCCAGGTACCTTGCAGGTCCCATGGCAGAGGCTTAAAGACACTTTGGGGGTGGCCTGTCTGCCCTTGGGGACTTCGGGAGGGCCAGGCCTGGCCTTCTCTGCCTTCCCCCTGGACTCCACCTCACCACCTTGAGGTGGTGGAACCTGGGAACAAAATGAATATTCTAGACACAATTTAAGGTATGCTGGACGATGTGCACAGGTCGATGTGCAAATACTGAGTCATTCTATATCAGGGACATGAGCATCTACAGAATTTCATATCTGGGGGGCTCCTGGAAGTAATGGCCTGTGGATACTGAGGAACAACTGTACAGCATTCTGAAGAAACCTTTCATAAGCCAAAATGGCATAAAGTGAGGAGTATCTTCCACTTTCCAAAAATGTGCTCTAAGCGGATTTGCATTATGCCATTTTGCTTTTACGAAACACCTAAGTTTGCCTAATGCAAACTTTTGAGAAGCGGGAGATACCTGTATTCCATACCTAGAATTACCA